ATGTACTTTCTTATTCACACAACTGTATATTTGCACTAAGAAAAAGATGTTTCGGAGCATAAAAGGTAAGGCTGATACAATTAAGGTCACAGTGCACTTTTTTTTTTCAAAATAACTTGTAGACAAATTCCATTGGTTCAGGCTAATCAAATCTAAATTTATTCCTGTCTTGAAAGCGTCCAATGTTTTATTGCAATCTGCAGGAAACTTGAAGAACAAAAGGAGGAAAAAATGTCACTTCCTACTTATGATACTTGGAACTGTCTGAACTTTCCCTATATGTTCATATAGTGGCATGAAATGCAACAGGGGTGGAGTACATTTGATTTTTCATTTCTGATTGTTTTAAAGTAAAAATTGGAGCTTGAGAAAATATAAAAAAAACAAGGATTTTTTTCCAATAAGCAATTAGTGAGTTCATACTGTACTGGAAAACCTTCAAACTGATTCACTTCCTAGTAAGGCAGGAAGCCAACACTTGCCAAAAGAGATTCTAAAAAAACAAAGATTGAATCTGGTATAGAGGAGGACTATAATGTGGTCTTATCTATCCAAGGTCAGAATGTACGCCAAAATTATTGACCACGCCACAGGCAATGAACGGTAGAAAGCTAAAATCAGAAACAAGTAAGAAAAATGGCTTGGGAGCTATCTCAGCGGGCTATAAAACTCACTACATAATTCCAGTTTACACTATGAACAGTACAAATTAGCAAGTTCACAAATATTTTTCCTACATTTTACAAAACATACCTATATCCATACCCATAATGCTGTTCCATTTTGGAGAAAGCAATACAGGTAGTCCCCAGGTTAAGAATGCCTGGTTTACAGATGACCCATAGTTAAGAACAGAGCCTATTGTAGCAAAATTCAATTTAAATACACAATGATTTGAGTTAAATACACAGTGGTTTGAGTTAATTGCACAATACTACTTATACAATATTATACAATAATACTGTTCCACCTTACATACAAATTCAACTTAAGGACAGGCCTTGGGAATGGACTCATGCTTAAACTGGGGACTACCTGTACCATGCAAACTGCAGAAAAAGATAAATAGTAAGCAAAATAACTTAAAGGGAGAATATAAGAGAAAAAAGTAAATATAACTAACTCTAATTTACACCAGGACCTACACTATAAACGGTCTCCATACCTTTCAGTCTTTGCAAATCAGATTTGCTTTCACTATGTCCATTTGTTTGTATACCAGTTTGTCTCCTATTTTCTTTAAGTTTGTGCCCTATTTTATTTATTTATTTATTTATTTA